ATGATGATGATGATGATGATGATGATGATGATGATAATAATAATAATAATAATAATAATAATAATAACAATAAACCTCCCTTCAAGGATTCTGCCTCTCCTCCTCCAAAACAGAGATCAAAGAATCATGTTGTGAGGGTTAGTGGAGAACAAAAGTCTTTCATCAACAAAGCATGTAATGTGATATAAAATAATGACAATCATGATGTTCAAAGGAACAGCAGAGAATCACAGAGTAAAACTTCTTTATTGTCCTTTTCAGAGACTGGATGTTTGTTACTTTATTATGTGAGGAGGGGTTAGATTATACACCCTTAGCCAGTTCACAAAGCAACATTTAAGGCAGAATTTCTTCTGCTATAGGAAGTAGGCTTCCATTAAGAAACTTTTTCTTAGTTACCTCAGTTCCTAATTGCATTTCTCTATACTACTTTAAAAGTCTAAATCTCTCCGAAAGCATAATTAAATGTAGGAAGTGGACAGTGGATGGTGAATACTGATCAGGTATGTATGTGTCTGTACAGGGCTTTTATTATACTCTGCTCATGGAAAGTAGGGCTATATTTTCTTCAGTTTTAATCAGTGACTAATGAGGAGAATAAAACATCTGAACAAGCAGAAGATGTAAATTTTGCTGAGAGGAAATAGAAAGAGAACCAATGCTCCTATAAATTTTACTAGGGAACTTTCAGTTATTGGCTTATTGGTAATATTGATTCCAACACCGAAGAATCATAGAAAAAGCCTTTGGAATTAATTTTCAGGAGTTGACAACTCATTAAGCCGATCATTCCTTTTTCTCTTAAATAATTTCTTTGATGAAAATATTCAACCAGCTCCAAGATTTTGGAGAAAGGAAATCATAATTTTGAAAGCAATTACCTGAAACTACTACCACAGGAAAAGAAGACAAAGTGGATGTAGCATATCTTCTTAATCTCTAATCTAATCTTGGTGTCTTTGCACATCATCTTTGAGGTGGGGGAAGTGACGTGAATAGTAGGATCACACAGAAACCCGCATGTGAAAGCTTGTGGTGGCTTTATTTAGATCAAATCCAAACTGGAAACAGTGGAAAGGTGTCTTTGCTTGGGAATGGACAAATAAACTGTGGTGCCCTGTAAGGTGGGATGCTGGTTACAAACCAAGAGGCACAGCCTCTTCCTATACATAGCCACATAGCCCAATCTCAAATGGTCTGTACAAGGTGGAGGAAGCCAGACTCTAGAGCTTATGCATTATGTGATTCATTATATTATATTTTAATATATTGTGCTGCAAAGCAAAACTGCAAGGTCAAAGTGCAGATCAGCAGTTGGCAGAGGATGCAGGTAGGGAGTTTCTTTATGGAAGGAAATAAGGAAATTTGGGGGGAATTAATGAACTGTTCTAGATCCTGATTGTCTTGGCATTTATGCCATGGTGTGTGTTTTCTCACAATTCACAAAATTGTACACTCACATGATTCAATTCTACTGTATGTCAATTATACTTGAATAAAAATATTACTTGGGAAATTCACGATTTTTTTAGTTTTTAACTGATATAGACACACACAAAGTTGTATATGTTAATGGGGCACCATGCAATGTTCACTACAGATTTATATTGTGTAACTTTTGTTGTCATCTGATGGTTAACTCTCCACCCTGACAGACGTTGAAGGTACCTCTCTAACCTTTAAAGTAACTAGCTTGATGGAGAAACCTCTAATAATATATGTTCTCTTTAATTAAAATGTAATATCAAATATTTAGTTATGCTTTTGAATTGTACAACTTTTTTTTTTTCCAATTCCAGGTGGAAGCTATATCCCCGGATACTTCGGAACGTTGCTGAGGTTGACCTGTCCACTTCCATCTTAGGACAGAGGGTCAGCATGCCAATCTGTGCTGGGGCGACCGCCATGCAGCGCATGGCTCATGTGGATGGGGAGCTTGCCACCGTGCGAGGTGGGAAGAGGGGCCCTTGCACGGGACAGAAAAGGACTGACAGTTAGCAGCCCCCTCTCTTCTTGCATGAAGCAAACATCTCCCAGATGTTTTGCACTCAGAAAAACTAAACTCCTTGGTTCTTCCATCAAAATGCCTTTTCTTGAACATCCTGTCCTTCCATGTTGTAGTTATGTGGCTCTGGGCAAGACTCTCTCTCTGTGCCTTGGTTCCTAGACTGTCACATGGGGATAAAAATAGTGCCAGTCTCATTAGGTTACTGTAAGGAATGTGTAAGTACGTGCATGCACAGTAACTGTCACAATTAATGTTGGTTATATTATTGTTATGAATGTCAACGTCTCTGAAAGTGGAGGTCTGAGGAGTGACTCACCCAAGGTCACACCTAGGTAAGTAGTCAGTGACAGAGATGAGATTCAGCCATGTTGCAACCCTATTTCAAATTCCTTCTGCTCCCCTGACCAAAGGGATTTGCACAATGACAGCACAGACCCAGTGATCCATGATTTTCGATCATGCTTCTTTTTTATGAAAAGATTATTTCCAAATGCTTTTTGAGGGAGTGATGTAAAGAAATCTCTTATCATAGCTAATTTATTAACTTTTTAGTTCTCTGGCAACAGTGAATATTTGAAAGCCTATGCAATGACTCCCCAAGTTCTGCTTGAGAATCTCTTTACATACAAGTTGGTAATGAATTCTCCTTGATGCCCGATACTAAGCAGGGCAGGAAATGAAGGCCAAAAGAGCATAAACTAAATCTATTTTAAAGCATTTTAGTTCTAAAAACTAAGGACTTTGTGGATTCACCTTCCTTCTTGAAATGCCTGTCACCATGGTACAGTGAGATTATGTGGGGCACATTAATGCTAGAACCTGACAGCATATTTAAATCTCAGACAACATGTGCAGAAGTGGCCTTGGGACTTGGGACATGTGTTTATGATCACTGGGAAACACAGGCAAGGAGGAGAAAAATAGGAAGCATGGAATGGGTTTATGTCTACTTAAAATTAGAGTAAGATGCCATACACAACAACCAATGAAGCCAAAACAGCCAAATGAACATAAAAAAACCAACACTCAGTGCTCTAAAATTTGTATAAAATGGAAAGCAAATGGCAAATTAAAAAAAATATGTGAATCCAAAATAATTAGTATCTATTCTTTTTCAAGAGTCCTTTATGTTTGAGGAAGAAAATGACCTGTCACTCCCAGAGAATAAAAAGATATATAAATGAACATCAAAAGAATGTTAAAGAGAATGTAAGAAAGAGATATAAAATTTCTAATAAAATTTCTAATAATAATTTCTAATAAAATTTCTAATAAAAAAATGAAAAATACTTGCCTGTAATCCCAGCACTCAGTAGGCTGAGGCAGGAGGATCACTGTGAGTTTGAGACCAGCCTGGGCTACCTAGTGAGTTCCAGATCAATCTCAACTACATAGTGAGACCCTGCCTCAAAAAACAAACAAACAAAAAAAACCAAATGAAAAATACTCTATTTCACTAAGAAGCAAGGAAATATAAATCAAACTATGTACTTTATTATTTTGGGGAAGACACTTCTACAAGGTTCTTCATTTCTATTATTATTAGTAGTAGTATTTATCAGGTATAGAACTCCGGACCTTGTGCTTGCAATGTGGGAGCTGTGCCACTGAGCTAAATCCTCAGCTCCATTTCTGTTATTTTTAATAGGCAAAAAGTTTGAAAATAACAGTCTCACAATTGGAGGTAGGTTTTGCAAAAAAACAAAAAAAAAACCAAAACAAAACAGGAGATCTGAAAATGAAGGTAAAGATTTTAAATGATGTCATATAAAGAGTGGAATGGCATCAAATATGGTTGCAATTTAATATTTTTCAAAAGAATTTACAAAGGATAGTTAGGGCCTAAAATATATTTAAAGATGGAGATGCCTACCCTACTGCAGTTTGCAACTGTTTCTGCATGATGAGATTACTTCTGACTTTATGTCTGATTTTGTTTTGTATTTAAGAAATGATTTTTGGATCATGTTGTAAGAAAGAAAGAATGAGTGAGTTGGAGTGAGTGAATGAGAGAAGGATCTTTGGCCAATGATGTCCAGCAGTTGATTGACAAACACCCCAGTTCTCTTTGCCCAGGGTAAATAAAGCCTTTGCTAACACCTTCACCCAGGGGACTGAGTCTCAGGAGTCCACAGAAGTTACCTGCCATTGGTGCGCTCTTTTTTATTGGCTGCTTCTCCTACTTTTCCCTTGTTTCAACTCACTTTGGGATCATTTCTGGGATCACACTACTTGCACTCACATCTTTCTGTCACTGTTGGCTTCTAGAGGAATTAAAGTCAAGATAATAGCTAACTGAAGGCCACAAAACAAATTTAAGTTACTATAGAATACTCATATTCAGAAGAGATACTTAACTTTCTGAAACTAAGATTTTCATGGAGTTAAGAAGCGATTAACTGATTCGTACTCTATCATTCCCAGAAAGAACGTGGGAATCTTTCCAAGTAAATCTGAACCTTGGAAATATTGTGAAATGTATGAAAGTTATTAGGGAGGGGTTTTATGGGTCACCCTCTTAATTATCCGGCCCCTCAATTTTCTAGTGTCCAGAGATGTCATTCCTAACAAGGAAGAGAAGTGGGAGCTGGTTGAGTGACCAATCACTCTGGTGAAAATGTCTGCATTGGCACGGTCAATGGGATTAAGTGAGGGCCATTTGAATCCATAAGGAGTGAAATGGCCTGTGGCTCCAGAACTTTCTGGGTGTTTCCGCAGCACCATTGCCTTGTATTCCCAGTGGCCTCACAAGACTTCTTCATAACATCCAGCTGTAAGGGCCCTTTTACCTTTCCTTTCATCACTGTGGGGGCAGGCACAATCCCAGAAGGAACTGGGCCCAGGGACAGAACCATACTCTTTTACTGGTTCATAGTTGTTTAGTAACCAATGGAGTTAGTCATACTCTGTTATTTTTAAAGTGACCATGAATAGAAAGTTATCAGATAAAGTACAGCCAGGTGGCCAGTTAATTTAAGTTTTAGATACACAGGAAATCATCTGTCGTGTGTCCTGTATATTTACTAAGAATCCTACAGAAATAAGAGCTTTCACATTCACGGATTCTTATGGAGATTCATAAAATAAATGCTAGAAAAGCTTGTGAAACAGGGAACACTGTTTATTTTCCCCTCAGAGACCAAAGTCTCCCAATCTGTCTCTTCCCACACATAAAAACTCACTTTCAGAAGTACATTCCATTTACACCTTAGTGGGAATGAACATTACTCTTTTTCTTTGCTAAAAATGGTTTGTCTTAAGTTTTTATGCAGGGACCTCAAAAAATGCCCTAGAGGTTGGGCTTTTAAGGTTAATAACCAAAGAGGGATGGAGTTAAGAGGACAAGAATACAGGTTCAGTGGTGGAAAATGCACTAAATCTCAGACCGTGCACTCTATCCAGTCCATCCCGAGACTGCCTGCTGTATCCCAAAGGGGGCAGCCACATCTTAGCTGGAGCTGCTCCCTTGAGAAGAGAGGGTGTGGGGTTGCCAAATCTTAAATATTTTAAGAGAAGCCAGAAATCTTGACTTTTATGTACAAGCTCCTGCTTTTTATATGTTGGCAAATAAATCAAAATTCTCTAAAATGCTATTTGGGGCAACAATGTATGGGCCAAAGCAAATACCTTTGTGGGCTACAACTGTCCCCTGGGCTGTTCAGCTGGGACATCTGATTTATGTGGAAATTCACCACTAACTAGCTTCGCTTCTTGTGGCAGGTCATTTTCACTCTCTAGGATTACACTTCCTCACTGATAAAGTGAGCTGCTTAAGCAAGGCCAGGGGTTTACACAGCAGGTCCTGAGGGACAGGGGTTGTTCCGAGGCATCTTAGGGGACTTAGTTCTGTCACTGAGTAGGCAGCTCAATGTTGGGGCTTAGAAGAAACTTCTTGAAAGAAATAGTTCTGCTGCTAAGATGAAAACAAAGAAAAAAAATTCACCATGACAAAAACTCCAAAAATAAAACCAGTAGCTTCTCAAAGAGAGTGCATAATCTTTAGGCCCTATCCCTTGTGGTTTTTCTTTTCTAATAAATAATTTTTCCCCATTAAAAAAAATCAAGTATAAAAAGAGAGACAACTCAAAGTACAGAGCTGCCTGTCCTTATTTTTCTGAAATTCCATCTTGCACTATGTTTTATGACACTTGCGAGGTTTAAGTGGGGATTGAGACTTTGATTTTAATTTCTCATACTACATCCTTGGATTTTTAGGGGAGGAAGCAGATACATATCTATCTATCTATCTATCTATCTATCTATCTATCTATCTATATATATATTGTATGTTGCTGAGCATATAAATAGATATTTAATATATAATACAAAACTGTGAAAAATAATGATAGCCAACTCTTATTGAGGAATTAACATGTTAGGCAATTTGAATCTATTACCTCATCTATTCCTCACTACTGTATTAAAATATGTGCCCCCAGAGCACTACGAATCGTTCTTCCACTCCTACAGATTTGGAAACTGGGGAGGCTAATTACCTTGCTCATGCTTGTCACTCATTTAGGCAACTGTCTATAATATCCTGGTGAATGATTGATATTTTATTTTTTGGTACCGGGGATTGAACTCGGGCCCTTGGCTTGCGAGACAGGCTGCAGAACCACTGAGCCAAAACCCCAGCCACTGATATTTTAAAATATTAACTGCAGCAAGAATACTAAGACAAGCCCTGAGCAATAGGCCTGAAATATTAACTGGAAACATAGTATGCATTTCGTTTTATCTTTTTCACCTTGAGAAGATGGAATATTAATAGAAAATGCCACTCTTCAGGAAAGGTAAGCCTCTGCAAAAACTGGAAGCATATGTGAAGGGTCTTGAATTATAAACAAAAATTAAAATTCTTAATATTTTTGAGGCAACAAAATAACTAGAGAACATTGCATGAGAATTATTATGAATTATGTATGAAATAAAAGATTTGT